TATTCCTCTATTGATACTGATTATTTCATACGACTAAAATTATTATGTGTACTTGTTTGTGGGTTTATTATTTGTTTGCAAAATGCTGAGTTTACAATTAGAAAAGCATAGTTAAGTAAACATTTCAAAGAAGAGAGTTGAATCAAAACATAAGCTAACAAGAAATATGCAGTTAAAATATCTAAGAAGGTGAGATTTCTTCTTGCTTAATCACTGAGTCATAAATTAGTTAAGCATAGATGGTTGTATAGTTAAAGTGACTTTCAAACTTTGTCTCTTTGTACATTCTATGGAGCAATAAGATACTGTTTAAACAGCTAAGATGATCCTATTGAACAAGATGAATGTTTTGTGCAGACATAGGCGAGGTATAGAATATCCAATGAAGAATGAATTAGTGACTTAACCAGTAGTAAACAATCTTATCCAACTTGTTAAGTACCAGATAAATGATCCGAAGACATTTGGTTCAAACCCACCACCAACACACATTTTTCTTCAGCTTCATCACTCTTTTACTTGAAAAGATATAACTGGACTGTTTCCTAAAATAAATCATATTACTGGAGCTGGATTTAGTCTTTGTGGATGATTTATAGTAGGATTGATATTAAAACAGTCTTTCCAATTTTATATTGAAACTGTCAGAGGCTTGTGGTTTGGTTTATTGAAACGCTAGCCATGCACAAATGTAAGCCTCTTTAGTGTATTCAAAAACATTTTGTGCTTATTTTAAACCTACCCTGGTACTGCTCATCTTATTATATCACCAAACGTTGTCTTCGAATCTTATCATTCTCCCATCATTATCTCTTTTGTCCTTCCGCACTTCCAGTTTTCATATGAAATACCATGTTCAGTAAATGTGTGATCAGATTGTTGAAAACGTGTGGGGGAAATACATCACGCTTTTCAGATAATTTACTTCTAATTACGTTATCAAAATTCATAAAAAGGAGTAACTGTTTCAATATATTTGGAAACCTCATCAGTCACATCTCTATCGGCACTCGCATGACTACTTATGTACTCAAACTTTCTCGCAACTTCTAGAGATTCAGTATTAAGGGTGTGTGTAGGTACAGGCTTCTGAAAATCTTGTAGAAGCACTCCGCAATTCAGTGGTCCAAAGCACAAAGTATAAATATGAACACTAGTCTTTGAGTGGATGAGTTTTCAGCAGCTTGTATGTCGTCACATAGTGAGACGATGCTTTCTTCAGACTCGAAGCAAAAAGGTATTTCACCTAGTAATAGGTCCATATCCTAATCTCCACCACCCCAAAACTTTAGGGGTGTCTTCAGAATGCTATTCATAGCAAAAATGTAGAAGAACAGCGAAATCAGGCAGCCCTGCCAAACCCACGATTAGTTTGGAACAATACAGAGATAGGTCGCTGCAAAATCTTCGCTCTACCTGAGATGTTAAAGTGTAGGGCTTTCAAGATGTTTAAAAAATTTTCTGGGATGCCCATCGATGATTTTAGAACACTGTTCTGCGCAATGAGTCCGAGAAAGCTCAGATATCAAGAAAAAACGATCGATAGCCTTGAGTACTTGTGATGGTGTTCGAGCATCTGATGGACGATAAGAATTTGGTCAATGCATCTTCGACCTGGAAGAGACCTGACCTCCTCTTCATGGAACAGTTTTTAACGCACTTTGTAAAGCATATGAACTTCGGTTATGAGAGTGAATGGGTGAGGAATGTTTTTTTCTTGAGGAGTTGGAAAGCATTAATTTTATATCACTTATACTTTTAGGCTCAAGGATTCGCACGATATGAATAGCTCATAAACCTGTTCCAGTCCCCAAGAGCCAAGGAAATACACCTTCTAGGCTAATTGAGAAATAAGACCTGGGTACGAAAACCAAGAAAAAGGCTCACAGGAAACTACCTACTTCGGTTTGAGCACCTAAATTGGAATCCATAAAAATTGAGATGTAACACTATAATATTTTAATATGATGAAGAATATTTTTTAGCTCAGCAGGGTAATTTTGATGGTGTCTTCTTCTCTTAGTCGGATAGTTTAATCGGACGGTTGAATCACGACTAAACCATCCAGCTCAGAGAAAACAACACCATCAAAACTTTGTAGCATAAATTTCAGACTATATGCCCAAGTCTCACAGTGTTAGTTAAACTAAAAGCAGAAAAACCTCGTTTCTAATACATGTCAAAAAACTTACACAGAAGGTTCGTCTCAAGTATTTCAAACCGGTTTTTTGCCAACAAACTCATAAAGTATGTTCTTCATACGTTTATCAAGGGTCCTTCTGGTACCAGTGTTCTTTCTCGCTGGAGTCGGTGCATCTGAAGATGTTGCCTGACAGTTTGTTATATGCTGTTCGTTCTATATTCGATTTGCTTATTTGATATATAGAGCATAGTATTACAGCATTATTTACTTGATGACGTTTCGAGTATTGATTATTGCTCATTACTTTTGACATCTAATTTTCATTGCCTTGTCACCTAATATTCTTTGTTTCTATTGTTATGAAAATTTTATATCTCTGGTATAGGTGCTGTGTCATTTCTATCACGTGTTTGGTGTACATGCAAGAAAAAGACTTCAGTTATCAATCTCTCTCCCCCCCGTCCCCCTCTTTCCACTGACTTAGGTACAGTGGTTTCATCCCACCCACTTTATTGTGTGGTTGTGTGTTAATGCATGCATTCCAATAGTCGAGTGTTTTCCCACATGATCATTTGACTATCTGAGATAGCCGTAGTTTGGCGGACTGGTATTTATGCTGGGTGATGGTTGAAGGTGAGATGAAAATCTGGACCGCGATCGGATTCCAACCAGTGACCACATTACTGATCTTATTGGTGTCTGTCATTCTATATTTAGCTAAATTCCTATGCCCCCGTAATCTAACTGACCACGACTGCCTAGTTTCACCTATGTACTTGACCTCACAGTCATTCCATGCAATCCGTTAGATTAGATTATTTTGTTGAATTGGTTCTCTCGGATCCTTAAACCGATAAAGCTTATCTCGTAGGTTTAAACCCCACCCTAATTCCAGCCTTCTTGACAATCCTAAGTAGACAGTGTCATGAATCAATTAAGATACCTGTAACAGATCGGATACACCGACTGCAGCATTTCTAGGTCAGCCTAAATGGTTTAATTTAATGCCTGAACTTAATAAGCCTAGCAGAATTTGCGGTACTGTTAACGTTCACAAAGCAGGCCATCTCATTACACAGACACTTGACTTCTGAAATACATTAACAAGTGAACTATTGAAGTACTTAGCAGCGATATTATATCCTATTGGAAATAGTTCAAATTCTAAACCAGTCAATTCTTACGAGTTAAAAGAAAAAGGACTTAATGACCTACATATAGAAGAGGAAGAAAAGGTGGCTGCTTTCCATGTAACAAGTCTTTATACTAAAATGCCAATCGGTATGGTACTAGAGGTAGTCAGAAATAAATTAGATAACGACTGAGAACTTACTCACAGAACTAAGATATCGGTTGATGAAATCATATTAGGTGTGCAGTTGTGCCTGACCTCCACAGTCACAAAGTTTCACTAAGCAATATACAGACAAATAGAAGGAGTAGAATATTCATCTATAGATAGTTGGGAAAACATGACTTTGTGAACGCTTGGTCCTTCACCGGTGTCAATGTGTGGATGACACATTCACTGTGTTGAAATCGGAACATAACGAGAGTTTGCTAACACATAAACTGGATGGTAGTTGGTGCAGTCCGATTCGCTTACCAGATCGAAAATGAAAAAGGAGGATTAGCTATGCTGGAATAGAGAGTGAAAAGAAGAACAGATGTTGGTATAGATACTACCGTCTACAGGAAACCGATACATTCCATCAGATATGTAGACTTCACATCTTCTCATTAAATGTCAGTCAAGTTGGGTTTCGTCAAATGTGTAAATGATAGAGTTAGAAAACTGAGTATTCAGTGTCGAGACTTAAACAAGGAATAGTAACACATAAGAGAAGCGTTAACAATTAATAATTATCCTGTAAATTTTATTAAGAAATTCGTACAGACACATGACAGACGAAATAACAACAGTAACACTAGTACGAATAATGACGACAGCACAAGTAGAAAGGAGTTCACAGCCTCGATTGTGTTACCCTATAAGGAATGGACATCAGAAACTGGAATTAGGGTGGGGTTTAAACCTACGAGATAAGCTTTATCGGTTTAAGGATCCGAGAGAACCAATTCAACAAAATAATCTAATCTAACGGATTGCATGGAATGACTGTGAGGTCAAGTACATAGGTGAAACTAGGCAGTCGTGGTCAGTTAGATTACGGGGGCATAGGAATTTAGCTAAATATAGAATGACAGACACCAATAAGATCAGTAATGTGGTCACTGGTTGGAATCCGATCGCGGTCCAGATTTTCATCTCACCTTCAACCATCACCCAGCATAAATACCAGTCCGCCAAACTACGGCTATCTCAGATAGTCAAATGATCATGTGGGAAAACACTCGACTATTGGAATGCATGCATTAACACACAACCACACAATAAAGTGGGTGGGATGAAACCACTGTACCTAAGTCAGTGGAAAGAGGGGGACGGGGGGGAGAGAGATTGATAACTGAAGTCTTTTTCTTGCATGTACACCAAACACGTGATAGAAATGACACAGCACCTATACCAGAGATATAAAATTTTCATAACAATAGAAACAAAGAATATTAGGTGACAAGGCAATGAAAATTAGATGTCAAAAGTAATGAGCAATAATCAATACTCGAAACGTCATCAAGTAAATAATGCTGTAATACTATGCTCTATATATCAAATAAGCAAATCGAATATAGAACTAACCAAACAACTGACACTATAAGACTTTGGCAGCGTTCTTCGTAGGATGTGACTATATGTTAGGAGTCAGTGTTATCTGCTGGGTAACATTCGGTGTTCGATCAACAGTGGGGTTATCCATTATCTTGTTTAATCAAATAATGAGGAAAAGTAACTATATAATCAGTGAATAAGGTTTTTTATTTAGAAAAATAACAAAAGCTGTACTGAAAATTGTCACCTATTATGTTCAATAAGTAAACTAGGTAGATGATTATATAATTGCCAGTGATATCTGCTGGATAATGAAAGTTACTAAAATGAAGTGAATCTGAAATTTATCCACTTGATTTACGTCGTAATCGGTGATTCGTTTAAAATAATCAGTAGAATATCTGGCCAGAAGTTAATCCATTCTGCATATTTGACTAAGCAGTTTCTTCCAATCTAAATATTATATTCATTCGGTTGAGTAAATAAATTTGAGAAATTATCTTTGATAATGATATTTTGATGCTCATTCACTTGTTGGCTGTCATGATACTGTTGAGCACGATGACAGCTTTGGTTCTGTCGTTGGCTGGATGATGATCCGTCCAAATGTTTACATACTATATAAACAAATATACCGCCTAATAATCCAACTAACAATATGCACAGTAGAGCGGCTACGATGACAGTGCGGGCTGAAATATCTGAAATAATAAAGTGAGACAGAGCCATTGAAATGCAGCTGAAAAGCCACTCGGTTGTGAGAAATGTCATCATAAACCGTACAATCTGTAAATTATTTCCAAAGGGATCATCGCATCTAGGGTATACTCATCCATCCAACTCAGTCAGCTAGATTCAGTAGAGCCGGGAAAATTAGACCTCTCTTAGGGATGAAATTACTTCAGTATAACACCGGTGAGCACGACCTTCAAACTAGAGAAACGGTCATGAAATGTCTGGATCACTTTGATCTGGTCAACGAATTCTATGCATCAGTTTGAGTGTCTTCTTCAGTAGTACATGCTGTCATAAGGTATTTTAATCACGAAAAGATATTTTCTTCAATACATAAGATATGCCGCTGGTATCATAAACGTATAACAATAAGACATGCTATAAGCTTTACTATTTAAAAAAAAATTTATGCAACATTAAGGTATAACTTTCTACCATCTGAAGAAGAGTGAATATTGTGATAAATTCGAAAAACGTTACTGTGTTACGACCCAAATGAGATGAAAACCTGGTTCTAATGCTGTTACAATCAACGATTTCATTTCATCTTCATTCACCATCCAGTATTAACAACAGTAATCTACAGCACGAATGATATCTCAGATAGCCATCTCTAATAATTCGAAAATCATTTTCGACAAAAATAGACATTGCCAGGCATCAACTATCGAAAACTATGCAATAAGTTACTCTTACTTCAATTAAAAATGGATTTTTCTACTACCATAAGTCCGACATCTGTTTAGCCATCAATCGTATTACCTCTGCTTTCTATTTATAAATAATTGTACAGAAATGGTTGGATTTCAATCTCCCTGTCGGTCTGAGTCAATACGGTTAAACTCTACTCAAATCTCTTTGTCAGTAGTAAATATCTGTTGACAAAACAAACTTACTCAAACTAATAAGTCAGGAATTTTACAGTGTGGAATTCTGATGAGCACTCATTGAGAGAAGTGGAGAACACGGTAATTTTTAATCAGTTAACCTTTGGTATCTCATTATAAGTTCTTATCATGCTTCCAAATAAAAATTTGGAATTTAGTATGCAAAAAACAGAATAATTTTCTTGGTTGAATGAAAAAAGTAAAACATAAGATAGTGTTAATAAATTGATTCATTCTGCAAAGCCAAAACTCTTCATCAATATGATGAAGGCAGAGGAATGTATAACTGTGTTTTATTGACTTGTATACTGTACTGTTTTGTAACCTTGGGGAGTAACGGCTAGAAGCGATTAGATTGTAATAGGAAAAGTAGCGTTTCATAATATTTGATAGGTTACACTTAGTAGTATTTCTTTATTCTCGTGTATATCCAATGTTAGAACACTCTCTCGCCTGACATAATGAAGGAAATACTTTTGGAACTTTCCGCTATCTGTAACATATATATTCACGAATGTACAGCCTCGTGAATGACTTTATCGAGAAAACATTTTCTTTACTGCAACCGTGTTTTCTTTTTCCCTTCCACCAGATGAATGTGATACGTTGTTTAAAGAGTAGTGAGGGATTCAAGACAGTAAAGGAACTGAACAAGTTTCTGCGTTTTTTCATCAAATTTGCTGAAGCGAATGCCAAAATTTACTTTGGAAGAATCTCGGACGGAACCATATTTTTTCTAACTCGCGTACCTTGCGGCGACACATTGTCGATCATAGTGACGCTGTCTGTTCCCAATATCCGGAATGTGAACATAATCTGTCACAAGAATCTCACGTTCTTTTCGAATAATCCGCCGAGCAGAGAGAATTTGAAAACTACTTTGTTACTGTCACTAGGAAGTGAAATGTTGACGTCAACCTGAAGCTTTGTGAAAGCTTAAAATGTATAACTAAAGAAACATCTTTTCCTTCGTCCCCTGAAAAAATTGTGTTCAACTATTACTGTCCCCAATCCAAATGAAAACCTTATCAATTGGACCTAAATTCTGTGACGTGCCTTGAAAAGTTGGTGAACTGCAAACAAAAGTTTGGTTCGGAAATCCGACTAATCAAACCAAATATCTAGTTCCAGTTTCATATGATAATGCTAACCATTTCATTTCAACAGTTTTAAATTAGTCTTAACTATATACGTAGAAAATCCAGCTATCGACATATTTTGTCAAGAGAACATCCAAACCGACTGAATTAACTGAAGAAAAACGAAAATTTAGTCATGATACACTCGGAAAAAGGCTGTAACAAAGTACTGCGAAACAAAGCAGACCATTTGAAGAAACTTTCACCCATTCTACACGATGGAAATAAATTCTTAAAACAGACAGCACAAAAAGATCCTACCGAACAAACTGAGCTGCAATTGACGAGAATACTGAAGAAAATGAGAAGTGAGTCATTCATTAGCAAAGAACTAAAGGAATAACTTGATCCATCAGGTTCTACGATTTCCCTTTTATACGGTTTTCGCAAAATACATAAAGAAGGCATTCCGTTCTGTCTAATACTAGATATGATAAATTCTCCATATCATTTAATTACGAACAAGCTTGTGGAAATAACCTCGCCTGGTTAACTAGTTTACTAGTTACTAGACGGTCCTAAGCCCACATAAAGAGGGAAGGTTGGGCATAGGGCTAGCAACCCTACCCCGTAAAACAAATCTAACCGCTAAAGAAACTTCAAAGCACAAACAAAATATAAAAAATGAAAACAAACTCATTCCCCGCTGGAATCGGAGAGGCGAAATGACGCCAGTTGGTGAAAGCCTTCGGGAAGCCAATTGGCCGATATGTCTTCTCCTCTCTCGATGAAAGCGAAAGTAAACGTGGGGACATGGAATGTCCGCACGATGTTTGAACCCAGTAAGGCAGCCCAGATTGCAAAGGAGATGAGAAGGTATCACATCGAAGTGCTTGGGATTTGCGAAAGCAGATGGAATGGGAGTGGACTCTCCAAACTGTCAACTGGAGAATCAATAATCTACTCCGGTCACCCAGACGACAACCACGAGCACACTGAGGGAGTGGCTATCATGATGTCCTCAAGAGCATCGAAGGCTCTCATGCAGTGGGAACCAATCTCCTCCAGGATCATGACAGCAAGATTCAACTCAAAAGGAAGAAAGGTCACAATCATACAATGTTATGCACCTACAAATAATGCAGAGCAAGAGAAAAAGGAGGAATTCTACAGACAACTTCAATCAACACTGGACAAGACGTCAGTTGGCGATATCAAAATTCTGATGGGCGACATGAATGCCAAACTGGGAGGGGACAACACGGGAAGAGAACTAACCATGGGTCGAGAGGCGCTAGGTGAAATGAATGAGAATGGAGAATTGTTTGCAGAATTCTGCGCATTCAACGATTTGGTGATTGGAGGCAGTGTGTTCAGGCACAAAGATATCCACAAAGCGACATGGATTTCACCAGATGGACACACTAAAAATCAAATCGACTTTATCTCAATCTCAAGAAAATGGAGACGCAGTCTACTTAACACAAGGTCAAGAAGAGGAGCAGATGTAGGTTCAGACCACTCACTGTCTAGTGCAAGGAACCTTCGAAATCAAGTTAAAAGCCTTCAAGGAAGCTGGTGATAGACCTCAATTCAAGTACAACACTCGGAAACTGAAGGATGAAACTACAAAGGAGATCTTCAAAGCAGCCATCAAGACAAAATGGGAGACGTCGAGGGACATCCCTGAAGAAACCTGTGTGGAAGAACACTGGAAGTCTTTGAAAGCTATGTGGAAAGAAACCTGCACAACAGTATTAGGAAGGAAGAAGAAAGAAGACAAGGAATGGATCTCGACGGATACCTGGAAGCTGATAGAGGAGAGGAGGATGGTGAAGCAGAAGATAAACCAGTGCAAGGATGCTCAACGACAAGAGGAACTGAGCACAATGTATAAAACACTGGATAAAGAAGTGAAGAAGAGTGCACGCAAAGACAAAAGACACTTCTACGAAACACTGGCAAGTGAAGCAGAACAGGCTGCAGGTAAGAGAGAGACCTGACGACATTGTATCAAATAACCAGGTTGCTATCAGGGAAGAGACCAACACAGATGAAACCAATAAAAGATGAAGAAGGAAATTTAATTACAAAAGAAGAGAAACAGAGGAAACGATGGGCCGACCACTTCAAGAAGCTCTTGAATCGACCACCACCTGCACTTCGTCCAGAAATACCACCTGCAGCCGCTGAATTACAAGTGAACATAAATCCCCCAACGAAAATGGAAGTCCTGAACGCCATAAAGCTACTGAAATGCGGGAAAGCAGCAGGACCAGATGGAATACCGCCAGAAGCACTGAGAACAGATGCAGAGACAACAGCGGACATGCTCACACCACTATTGCAGAAGGTGTGGAAGGAAGAGAAGGTACCTGACGATTGGAAGAAGGGTTACCTTGTCAAACTGCCGAAGAAGGGAGACCTCAGTGCTTGCAAGAACTGGCGCGGAATCACTCTCCTATCCACCCCAAGTAAAATATTAAGCCGCATCATCCTGGAGAGGCTTAAAGATGCACTGGATTCAAAACTGCGACCGGAACAGGCAGGCTTCAGGAAGTACAAATCATGTGCAGACCAAATTGCAACGCTTCGTATCATCATAGAACAGAGTATAGAATGGCAATCAGCTCTATACCTCAACTTCATCGACTTTGAGAAGGCCTTTGACAGCGTCGACCGAGAAGTAATTTGGAAACTGCTTCAATACTACGGAGTACCGCAAACCTTTATCCGCCTCATTCAACAACTATATGAAGATGCCACATGCCAAGTAATCCACAATGGGAAGCTCAGTGATGCCTTTGAAGTGAAGACAGGAGTGAAACAAGGTTGCCTACTATCCCCCATGATATTCTTGATTGTGGTGGACTGGATCATGCAGCAAACAGTAGGCAGCGAGAAGAGGGGGATACACTGGACGACGGAAAAGAACCTAGAAGACTTGGATTTCGCCGATGACTTATGCCTAATGTCACATAAACTTGAAGATCTGCAGGC